TTAACATGGTTTGAACTGAAGTGCTTCTTAAAAATTTTGGGTATTTATTTCTGCCCATCTATGTGTAATTTTGAAACATTTGATGCTTACTTTGTAATTTGTAAAACAAAATTCAAATGAATACCTGAGAATTATAAAAAATTCTCAAAGTGCCCACCAATATGTTAACTATAATTATTCTCATATCGTAGTATTATTTGGAGTAAAGAAATACTTCTTAAAAATTTTGAGTACTTATTTCTTGACAAAAGTGGATATTTTTGAACGAACTGATGCTCACTTTGTAATCTAAAAAGAGTTTCAAATGATTTCCCCATTGCAAAAAGTTTTTAAAACTCTCAAAATAAACTCTATTTTGTAGTATATATCTGCTCATTAGATAGCATGGTTTGAAAAAAAAAACAAATGTTTTATTCAAAATTTTAAGTATTTATTTCATTCAAACTATGTGTATTTTTTGAACGAATTGACACTTTCTTTTTATCTCAAAAGAGTTTCTAATGAATTTCTCATTACAAAAAAATTATGAAAAGTTCGCAGCAAAGTGTTCTCGATTATGTTATCGATAAATATGCTCATACAGTGAGTAAACAAATATTTCTTAAAATTTTTGAGTTCTTATTTCTTGTAACATATTGGTATTTTTGAAAAAAGTGAAGCTCACTTTAAAATCTGAATCAAGTTTCAAATGAATTACTTATTGGAAAAAAAATATAGAAAATTATAAAAATTGAAATAAAAAGTTACGCTAAATGTCCTCCATTTTTTTAAACTATATATATGTACTTTACGTAGCATGTTTTGAACTCAACAAATGATTCCTAAAATTTTTGGATATTTATTTCTTCAAATCTAAGGATATTTTTTACATTATACGCTTTCTTGACCATGCAACCATGCCGCAATCTAAACAATGCCAAATTTAGAGCATATATATGGTAAACAATGGAGTACACTTCATGAATGTTTTATAATTTTTTGCAATGATTAATTCATTAACTGTTTCAGATTTCAAAGCGAGCGTATTTTTAAAAAAATATCCATTTCTGTCAAGAAATAAGTACTCAAAATTTTTAAGAAGCATTTGTTTACTCTAAATAATACTACGTTATGAGAACAATTACAGTTAAGATATTGGAGAACACTTTGAGAATTTCTTATAATTTTCAGAAATGAGGAATTCCTTTGAAACTTGTTTTACAGATTATCAAGTTACAATAAGAAATTCATTTAAACTTGTTTCAGATAAAAAGTAAGTGTCAATTTTTTTAAAAGATACCCATAGTTGTGATAAAATAACTATTTAAAATTTTTAAGAAGCATTTGTTTAGTCCAAACCATGCTATGTAATGAGTAGATATAGTTAACAAAATAGAGTTTATTTTGCGAATTTTTAAAACTTTTTGCAATGGAAAAAACATTTGAAACTCCTTTTTGATTACAAAGTGAGAGTTAATTCTTCCAAAAATATCCATCTTTGTCAAGAAATAAGTACTCAAAATTTTTAAGAAGGATTTGTTCACTCCAAACAATGTCTACGTTAAGAGCATATTTATAGTTAACATATCGGAGGATACTATTCGAATTTTTTGTAATTTTTAAAAATGAGGAATTCATTTAAAACTTATTTCAGATTGCAAAGTAAGCTTCAAATCTTCAAAAATACACATAGTTGTGAAGAAATAAATACCCATCATTGCTAAGAAGCATTTACAAGAAGCACCAAAGAATTTTTTTAAGAAACACCAAACAATACTATGTTAAGAGCATATATTAACATAAGGGAGAGCACTTGAATTTTTTGTAATTTTTGCAATGAGAAATTCATTTGAAACTTATTTCAAATTAGAAAGTGAAGTCCAGAAACAAAATCCTTTACATTTATCTGCAATGACAAGGGAAATATCTAACAATTATCTGCAGAGCGAGCATAATTGTGCTTAAATGTTGCACTTTATAGGTTTGTTAGTTCTGAAAGGCAATATTGTCTAACTCTACAAATTATGATGTAATAACTGCACTATTATTGGACGTTGTACTTTTGAAATGTCTTAATTTAGAAAAGAAAATTTCTGTAACAGAAAAGAGAAAATGATAAATATTGCTTAATACAATTATTTGTAGCCTAATGACATGGATGCGTTAAGGTTATTCACCGATTACAAGGCTCTATATTTATATTGCTCATTTTCTCCGGATTGGGAACAAGAGATTATTTCTAAATTCTGATATTGAAAAAAACTTTGTCTTCTGTGTCTGTTGCAAGAAACAGGTTAGGTAAAGTAGAAACAGGCATTACCCTTATTTTTCACCCTCAGGAAGAAGAAAAATTGAAGAGCCACTCACACAGAGAAAATGCTTAAATTAAATGACTGCTTTAAAGCAACTGAAACTTGTAAAACTGAATAGAAAACTTTACTAATTCAACATGTCGTAACATAGTTTCTTCGATCAATTAGAACGTTCCTTGTTTTTGTAGGGTGAATATGCTTTTTTGCGTAAATAGAGCGAGCTACGTAAACCCAAAATGTAATATTCGCTCTTGCAACAAATATTAAATTTTGGTTTTACATCGTTTGGATAACTCTAACTTTTTTTTTCTTTAAACTTATTGAGTTTTCTTAATTTTCTATCGCATGATGTTAATTCTAAAGAAAATACACTAAACATTAATTGAAATAAGAATGTATTTAGCTTGAAAATAATATTAGCAACTTTCGTTTAAGGATTTGCCTCGCGGTAGATAGATCGTAAAGACATGGTTCTCAATAGAAGACAAAAATAAAGCATCACTGGCTGCGGTCGGTAGCCGGATAGGTAACCAATTCGACGGCATTTGTTAAATTGTTCTCCCTTAAAATGCTCAACTTCATACACAGGTCGACGTGCTACCAAAGCGGGTGAACCATTCTCACTGTAAACTGTCACTGTCACTTCGGATCATCACAAAAATGTTTCCCAGATCACCGCTTATAACNATATAAATTGCACAATTAATAAGCAGTTACTAGGATTACATTATACAGTAATAAAAGAAATACTAGGTTACTAATAGTAAAACCTAGTATTTCTTTTATGAAATAATTTATTTCCTTTATGAAATAATTTAAATGACAAAGGTCAAGTTATCTGGAATGTCAATTTATCCAAGGGTACTGTGTTTTTTAAATGGATCAAATATGACGTTTGTCACTTCCACAATCAAGTCAATGATTTACAGAGGTTTCTGCGCAAAAATCTGAAAGGGGTTTAGGTTTATGTTCATAATTGCGTTTAACGCTTCTTGTTTAAGACCAGTACGTAACGTGTTTTTTTTGTTAGTTCGTTGCTGAAAAGCCCCTTTCAACCGCTGCAGTACTCCCACATTGAGAAAACATCAATTTCACCAACACCATGCGCAGTATCTTGCTGTATTTCTAGATTAGAGGGTCACTTTAGAAGTGAGGCGTTGGACTCTTGTAAGATAACAAAAATTGAATATGTATCACGAACGTTAACGGGAAAATGGCCGTCCGCGCGGACGTCGGATTCGAGAAATTTGTTGTCCGCGGGGAACTTTTGACCGCCGAGGACGGGCGGACGGGTGGTTTTTCGAGACTTGCTTTATAGGTTTGTTAGTTCTGAAAGGCAATATTGTCTAACTCTACAAATTATGATGTAATAACAGGTTAGGTAAAGTAGAAACAGGCATTACCCTTTTTTTTCAACCTCAGGAAGAAGAAAAATTGAAGAGCCACTCACACAGAGAAAATGCTTAAATTAAATGACTGCTTTAAAGCAACTGAAACTTGTAAAACTGAATAGAAAACTTTACTAATTCAACATGTCGTAACATAGTTTCTTCGATCAATTAGAACGTTCCTTGTTTTTGTAGGGTGAATATGCTTTTTTGCGTAAATAGAGCGAGCTACGTAAACCCAAAATGTAATATTCGCTCTTGCAACAAATATTAAATTTTGGTTTTACATCGTTTGGATAACTCTAACTTTTTTTTTCTTTAAACTTATTGAGTTTTCTTAATTTTCTATCGCATGATGTTAATTCTAAAGAAAATACACTAAACATTAATTGAAATAAGAATGTATTTAGCTTGAAAATAATATTAGCAACTTTCGTTTAAGGATTTGCCTCGCGGTAGATAGATCGTAAAGACATGGTTCTCAATAGAAGACAAAAATAAAGCATCACTGGCTGCGGTCGGTAGCCGGATAGGTAACCAATTCGACGGCATTTGTTAAATTGTTCTCCCTTAAAATGCTCAACTTCATACACAGGTCGACGTGCTACCAAAGCGGGTGAACCATTCTCACTGTAAACTGTCACTGTCACTTCGGATCATCACAAAAATGTTTCCCAGATCACCGCTTATAACCCATTGTGCAGCTCCAGTGCTACATAAATAAAATACCTACCCATCAAGACAAGATTACTTAGCTCCACGCATGATTTCTATAAATTCACATGCGAATAGGAACCTTATTATTGGTGAAATTATTCTACCCCGAAACATTAGCCAACCAGTTTTTGTGCGAGAGCCATTCTCACTGTATCCCATGGAATTGCGCATGCGAGTTTAGAAATACGAACGAGAGCCTGATTGGCGAGTTTCTTGTGGCTAAATATATAGTATCACAATTCAGGTTTTCATTCGCATATGCGAATTTTTCACTTACAGTATTAACAGTCTGTCACGCTCAGTGAGAACGGCCCGAAACTCTATCTTATAATGCAGCCACTCCTTTTTTTGATACCATGTGGCACTTGCATTTTCCTACAAAGATGAACCTTTTCCGAGATAGTAACTTCACACTTTTCTTATAACTTTAATTCAAAGACAAAACAATTGCCTGTTGCAAGTAGTTTATTTGACGCAGATGCATTCTGAAATATGATTAAATGACCATGCAAATTTTTTATGCAGCAGTAGAAATGAACCTTCAGTATTGTTTACGACGTAATAAATTTGTCATACATATTTTTTTTATTGTACAGCCTTGACTTTGGCAACGCCTATTATTAATAAAATCGAAAGTCGAACGAAAATAGCGTTGTTTAGATTTCGAAGTAATGCTCGATTCTTCATTTTAGTTTTCTGATTTATTATTTAATCCGTAGTTATGGCAGGCTTTGTGACTTGTGGGCCGAATGAAGCCTTAGTAGTATCAGGTAGTTTTTTTGTAACTATTTTCTTCCTAAAAATCTTTCCACTGCGTTAATCAACTATAGTAATCACTAAAAATTTGTTTTGTAAACATATGCTTGTGTTTTTTTTTTTTCTTTAAATTTGTTATTAAACCTAAATTTTATTAAATCTGATGTTCTTGCACTTTCCATGAAATTGTTGACTACTCTCAGTGAAATAGTACGAATCAATAATTGCGTGATAAAAGATAAGAGTAATGGCATTTTGACATTTGTTGACTCTCATTGCACTAAAGATATGCTTAACATTGAAATTGAGTTACTCATTTCGTCTTGTTTTCTCTGGCTCGATAATTTGAGCCTCAAATTTTATAGCTAAATTTCTCTAATCATGTTTCTCGAAACTTGAAAATTTTCTTTTTCCTATTATAATTTTGTTAACGTTATTACCGGGTTAACAATGATCATGATTCTTTTTTTATTTTTTAAAATTCGTTTTAATGTCTAAATTCAAATTTAAGTTGAAATTTTTTTTTTTTTACATTTACTGATTAAAACTGGAATAAAATGTATTAAATATGTTAAAAACAATGTTGCAACTAAAATAATATTGTTAAATAATAAGAAACAATATTGTAACTATTTGATGTTTCTAACTTAAAATGGTTATAATTATATTATGGATATAACAAGCTAATTGCAGAAATTTTAAAATCATAGTTGCCTTTAATCACAACATTCCCCAGAATTCGTGAACTAAAAAATCAAATTTACTATCAAATGAAGAAAAAATTATTAAGATAAGAAGTATAAACTTTAAAAAAAATAAATTATTTATCCGAAATTGCTTTTGGCAGAATATTCCTTCTTCATCAAACTACATATTTAATAAGTATATTGTTTATTATTATTTTTTATAAAGTTGATTAATCTTTTAAACAAAAATGCTAAATGGGTGTAATTGTGATTAATCAGCAAATTATTTTATATGCTGCTAATAAACATAAATAATTCAGAAGTTTCTTTTCACTTTAATGCCCATTGAGTCTCTGATTTGTCTATTTTAAATATCAATTAATTTTTATGCATAATACCCCATCTCATTTTTTTCTCTAGAGGAAAACTTCAACATCAGTGAATTAAAAATGATTCAATATCAATAACTTTAAAAAAAAATCACAACCAGATGAACATGAAGAGAATATGAAATTTCTAAATTACACTCAGGTCTACCTTTTAACTGAGATCCTGAACTGTCTTAAAATAATAGAAATCTGAAAAAAAAAGTAACTTAAATTTTTTTTTCTACTGCTCTGATTGTTTACAGCTTTTTTCAAAGTATCAGGAAGTGGCTATTTCGTTATTAAAATTCTATTTATAAGATATGTTCAGAGTTTGCAGTGAAATGTATTTACTTAAGAATTCGCATAAACAGATTAAAAAAGAAAAGAAAATTTCACAAGTTAAGCTAAATAAAAAATAAAATAATTTCAGATTTCTTGTGATAACCAGACATAGGCATTAAGAAAAAAAAAGGACAAATTTAAAAGATTTAATTTATAGAATATTTCTCAAGGGGATATATAATTCTTAATTTGGGTATGATTTATCGAAAATACCTCATGGAATATACCATCCTCAATGTAATAGTAAATAATATATCAATACACTTTTCAGTAGAATTTCGTTGAATTGGGTATATTGAATCATTAGTAGTTATTGGTAGAATTAAATTCGATAATAAGTTTATCTCTCTTTTTAAATTCCTCAATTTTGATATATTTTGTTTTTTTGTTGAATTGCTAATTTGGAGCTGCTTTTTTTTCATGTTTGTATATTTTAATAATTCTGATATATTTTGCATATTAACTAAATTATTTGCTTAGAATTTCATTTTTTAATAATTCAAAGATTTTTTTCTGCTAATTATAATTTTTGCAATGGTTCTCTGGCTCATTTGCTAGAAAACAAATATTTTATTTTTAAATTTATTTTTGAGATGGCTCAATTGAAAATAGAATTCATCCATGGAAAAAAAAAAAAAAGTGAAATTTTGAAGAAAAAAAATTTAAATAATAAATTAAGTAGCTAAAAAGTTTTGTCTTCATGATATTTTTCTTCTTAACAAAATAAGAAAAAGGAAATTGAGACTTGAAAAAAATTCATTTTATGTAAATGATATTTTTTTTTTTTACTCAAATGGATTTATATGCTTTAAAAATATTGTTTTGGTCGGTTTTCCTCTTTTTGTTTAAATGATTTATATTTTATAGGATGTTGTCATACAAATCCTTTGATGGTGCCAGGTGGGAGAGTTTTTGTATGGCCTGTTATTCAACGAGTACAAAGGTAAATTGTTTCTTTATTTTAATTTATTAGAATGATTCGGATTAAGTATGTTTTCCTAACTGTCAATTATTGCATTGTGTCATAACTTTTAAGTAAACTAATTTTTTTTATCAGAGAAACAAGAAATGCCTTATATAAAACATGCATGAGGCAAGAGCAAATAAAAAAACAACAACATGGGAACTGTTTAACAAAACAATAGGGTGATCCTACCACCATTTGCGAGATTCAGTAATTTTAAGTTTAAAATCAAAGCTTTGTTTTAACTGTGCACTTTTTTAATATAACTGTGCTCGTTAATGTTTTCCTTAGTGAAAGAAATTTAGAAATCTCTTTTAAAATGTGCGAATTCTAGATTTTGATTTTGTTTCAACAAAATAAGTCACTGAAGAACAATTTGAAACATTTTTTTAGTGAAAAACATGAAATTTCTGGAGGATTGTGTTTAGTTTTTGATGTCAAAAACTAGTTTTTGGCATGACATGTCATAAATTGTCATAAACATGGGACGAGTTTATTTTTTTACATTGGAAACATTTTATTAGATACTAAATGATGAACAATACTTACATTATATACTACTAAAGGTTATTATGATTTATAATATCTATGACATGTAGAAAATGTAGTCAAAATTAATGAAACTATTAATTGGTTTCTGTGATGGTACTCTTAATGCTTTACGGACCCATATTATAACTATTCGGTTTATATTATAAGTAATGACTCTGAGTTGTTAATTATTATCAATCTAAATATCGATTTTGATTCTTTTATGTTACAATTTAGACAGATTGCTTGGATTAAGTAAAATTAAAGTGTTCGCTAATAATTGTCTGACCTGAATGTTTAATTTTTTTTTATTGATTCTCAATATTTGTAGTTATTAATTATATTCAGGGGAGCAGAATATGTCTGACTGCATGAACAAGGCTTTAGAGGACATTCAAGTAACCTTGGGGAGATTTTTCTTTAAAAAAAATTCCCACAAAGTTTTTGTTAAAATTGTGTCCGTTTTGCAAAACTTTTTCTTGTTTAAAAAAATGTGTCAACTTTTGTATTTATTAGTTTGAATTCCTTAAGTTTATAAGTGGGACCTTAAATTTAATTTCAGGGTTGGGTTTTTGACGTCAAAAAGTGGTTTTTGACATGACTAGGGTATAATACGGGTTTAAACCGTCAAAAACCTGTCGAAAATGTCAAAAACTGAAGTTTGCCAAGAAAATATATAAACTTCAAAACTACCAACAGTTGCCATGCATTATATTGNTAACTTTTAAGTAAACTAGTTTTTTTTTATCAGAGAAACAAGAAATGCTTTATATAAAACATACATGAGGCAAGAGCAAATAAAAAAAACAACATGGGAACTGTTTAACAAAACAATAGGGTGATCCTACCACCATTTGCGAGATTCAGTAATTTTAAGTTTAAAATCAAAGCTTTGCTTTAACTGTGCACTTTTTTAATATAACTGTGCTCGTTAATGTTTTCCTTAGTGAAAGAAATTTAGAAATCACTTTTAAAATGTGCAAATTCTAGATTTTGATTTTGTTTCAACAAAATAAGTCACTGAAGAACAATTTAAAACATTTTTTTTAGTGAAAAACATGAAATTTCTGGAGGAGGAATTTTTGTATTTATTAGTTTGAATTCCTTAAGTTTTAAGTGGGACCTTAAATTTAATTTGAATAGAATTATTACTATTTATAATTCAATTATTACTATTTTCATATATTTTGATTTCTATTATTTTTTTAACACATATGCTTGTTTATTCGAGAATTCTGGAGAATGAAATTAATTCTTTTTAATATTTAAACTTTACTTTCCAAAAATATTTTCAAAAAGTTATTGTACCAAAAAAAAGGCTAAAATTTTTGGGGAAATTTTGATTGAAAAAAAAAAAACAACAACTTTGTTCATAGGGAATATTAGGCTCTGAGAATTTTTATTACTCATGCTTATATGTTCATGAATATTAGTGAACTAATGTTAATTATATTGATGTATAATTAGTTCATTGATTAGTGAACTAACAATTTTTTCAATCAATCAATTCAAGGATTTAATTAAATTATTTTTAATATTTAGTACAGTTATTCGAATAAATTTCCTAGTCGCGTGTTATTTTATTATGTTATAATTGCTTTAGAATGTCTACATTCTTGTCAATGCAGCTCAGCATAAATTGAAAGAATAGTTTCGAATTTTGATCTTATTCATACAAAACTGAAAAATCAACTTTGAGTTTAGAGGACTTGAAAGTTTTTTTTAAAAAAATTTAATTGCATGCTTCAGGGAAAGGAGAATTTAAAATGATAGCAAAATAAAATTGATTTTACATTTAATGAATAAGATGATTGTTGAGAGTTTTTTTTATTAAACTGATTGTTTTTGTATTTTTATTTTCAATTATTTATTGCATGCTTCAGGGAAAGGAGAATTTAAAATGGTAGCAAAATAAAATTGATTTTACATTTAATAAATAAGATGATTGTTGAGAGTTTTTTTTATTACACTGATTGTTTTTGTATTTTTATTTTCAATTATTTCAAATTAACGGATTGGGGGGGGGTTAAATTGTAATTGTCATTTTTTATTTATAATAAAAAATTTTCTGCACCAAAATTTGAGGGTTTTGGCAGTAATTGTCGAAACAAAAAGATAGTTTAATGTCAAAATAATTCACAAGATCAATTGATTCTCCTCACTTGCAATTTTATATGTTTATATGTAAATACTTATTTATAATAGCTAATAAATATCCTTACTCCAAAATTTCGGTTTTTGACGCCTGTCGAAAACTATTCCAATAAAGGTTTTTTTGACTGATAAAACCATGGTTAAAACCGGATAATACCGTCAATTGTCAAAACTTGCCTGTCCTGAATTTCTGAGGGTAGAGAAAAGCTGCTGGCTTTTTAAATGTTTAATGCTTAACATATAAAAAGCAAAATTGTGTTAGAATGTTAGTGTTTATCTACCAGAATCATTTAAAGCTATACTTTGAATAGATTGTTTGAAAAGAAATTTAAAATAAAGAAAATGATTTTTCATACATTTCCTCAATTAATTTATACTCAGACTACCTCTTAATACTGTTATTTCTTTGTCTTTAATGTTTGGTACCATTTAAATGTAGAATTCTAATCATTTTGAAAATTGTGAATTCAAATAAATTTTGTTTGTAAAAAATTTACTAATTTTTTGTATCAACTTATTTTATTTACTTGGTACTCAATTTTTGTAATATATATTTATTTGGTTTTTATAGTATATATTAATTTAACTTTTATCTTATAGAATTACATTAAATACCATGACATTAACCATTGAAAGTCCAAAAGTATATACTCAACAAGGAGTACCAATTTCAGTTACTGGAATTGCTCAAGTATGCACCACTTGAATTATTGATTTTAATTTGCTTATCAATGATATTGATACTTTTAAAATTAGATGTTAATCTTTATCTGTCTCAATATTTTTAATAGGTTAAAATACAGGGGCAAAATGTTGAGATGCTAAGAGCTGCTTGCGAACAATTTCTTGGAAAGAAAGATTCTGATGTAATGCATATAGCTAGAGAAACTTTGGAAGGACACCAAAGAGCCATAATGGGAACTATGTCTGTAGAGGTATGTGTATAATTAAAATTTCTTCCTCACTTTTTTTTATTTATCCTTAATATTTTTTGTGATAATTTAAATCTGATGAAATTATATCCTATTCATAATTATTTCATGAGGGTGTAAAAAGAAAGATAAGTAGTTTTTTTTTAAGCTTTAAAATTGTATATATATTTTTTATTCAAATCATTTATTAAATTTTCAGTATTGTATGGTCTTTCAATGTTATCAAATCTTTATTTTTTAAATGTGTATTTGTATCGAATTATTTGGCTACACAATTCAAGCAAAATTTTGTAGCCAAAGCAATTCAGAATTGCAAACTTTCCTCTAATTTCAAGCTTTTTCTGTTCCAATTCAATTCAAGATTTAAAAAAAATTTGACATTGAATTATAAGACATTAGATATGACCGAAAAATATCTAATTAACTTTTAAACATTAATAACTTTTAAAATTTGTCATTTTTGTATAGGAAAAATTGCAGCTTTTGTACAAATGTTTTTTGACCATAAATATTATTTCGAGATGAAGGCAAATAAAATGCTTTCCTCCAAAAAAACTTGAAAGTTTTTTTCTTCTTAATTATCAGTTTATGGTAATGTTATTTAAAAATTTTCAAACTATTATTATTATTCAGAAAAATTCTACGTTTGATTTTAATGTTCAAAATCTCCTTGAAAATATAATGAATTAGTTTAATTATTTCTTTTTTCTAAATGTTTTAAATAAAGTGATTTAAATGACTGATTTTAATAATTTCATTTGGGAAGCTTGTGGAAAATTGTTTAGGTTTTTATTTTTTTATAAGATTCTTGCAGATAGTTTCTGCTTTCATATTAGCAATAAAAATTAGAAAAAAGCAATCAAGCGTAATTTATAACTTCAAACTTAAGAAAAAAGGGGGGGGGGAATTGTTTTTTCTTAAGCACAATATTCTTGCAATTGTAAGTAATATTAATCAATAGAGTAGTAAATGAAGACTAAGCTTTAGTACTGAAAAGCTAAACTTTGAAAGCTGTCATGTAGAAGAGAGAAGGAAAAAAAAAAATTAATGAAAGAATAAAAATGGATGTAGTTAAATTTAAAGCTTAAAATGTGTCTGTTTAGAAATCAAAAATTCTTGTATATATAATTGCTACTAATTCTATATGATTTTGCCTTATTATTGTAATTGCATAAAACTTTGTGATGTATTATGCTATGTGTATTTTTTTAAAATTATTTTTGCACAACAAAAATAAGAATTTGATTTCATACAACATAAAATAAACCATTATTTTTTTTTCTAAATTAACAGCTCTACTGTATGCAACAAAAAGTTTCTATTAGCATTAAAAGTTAAAACTAAGTAATAAAGCATATTTTATGACATTAAGTTCAAAAAAGGGACAATAAGGAAGAAAAACAATGAAAAATATTACTATATTGTTATTAATTATGCTGGAAATTGAAAATAATAAGTGGAGGGATTTGATTTGTATTATCACAGACTATTAGATCCATCACAGTGATGACGTGCTATTTAGATACTGTTCATGATTGTCTCACTAAATAACTGTTTTTTGTGAATCCAGAATTTTGAGATTTACAGAGATTATTTACTGAATTGTTCATCATTGAAAAAGAAAGAAAACTTATGCAGTGGATATTAATGAACTAGAGAGTTCATGCAGCTGGCATCTAGTGTTTAAATCTCTTTTATGTTTAATGTTATGTTATTTTGTTTTCCAAATTTGATGTATTTATTGTTATGAGGTTAATTACTGTTTTGTGCTGAGGTTAATTACTGTTTTTATTGTGATGCTCTTATCTCGTACACCTTTGCAGAAAGGGCGATGCCGTTATAATCAAGTGCAAATGCGTTACTGGTGTATAATTAAGTTTACTTCATTTTTCATTGTAATTTGGGTGTGTAGATAGTCTACTTATATACATGAAAAATAGGGTATTCATTTTAGGCCATTCTATGCTAATGCATATTTTGATAAATTGATTTTACTTTAAGTTTATTTTTTTGCATTAGAAAAATGTATTTTTTTGGAAACTATATTTTTGCTGTTGTATGTTAAATTAATCTACAGTATGTGAGGACATAGTGCTGTTAGCTGGCAAGCTGCTTGGAAAAATAAGTAATGCTATGCAGAGTGTCTTAAAATATTATTTCTCTTTTTATTAAGTATCTTATATATATAATTCAGAACTAACTGACTATGTTTCAGATTTTTGAATTTTAGTTATTTATTATTTTTTTTATTTTAGCCCCATAAAGATCTATTTAGTCTGCCTTAGTTGCACTAAATATATTATAAATATATAAGTTTTTATTAAAAATTTTAATATTTTATTTTTTACACTACTCTTTTTTGCTTTGAATTTAGTTTAAGACACCTTCTGATATATATACTTGACCTGTAAGTTTGATTGAGTTTGTAACTGTTGTTTATCTTTTCAATGTGTCTGACGCAAGCTCATCTACCATAAAACTATATTTCCTCCACTTTAAGTTGTGACTTATTTTTCTGTTTATAATTGTTTTTATGTATACACATGTTTCAACAAATTTTTATAACTTATGTTCATATTTTCATCTTTAAGGAAATCTACAAAGACAGGAAGAAGTTCTCGAAACAAGTGTTTGAGGTTGCTTCATCTGATTTAGTCAATATGGGGATAACTGTTGTTTCTTATACAATAAAGGATATAAGTGATGATGAGGTAACTTTTCTTTGATAACCTATAATGAATTTTATTCATTAATTAATTTAAATCTTACATTTGTTTTATAGATTACAGATGTTAAATAAAAAGGAATTGGATTATAATTGTAGTATATGTGTATCAATTATCAAAAATTTAAGTGGGCTTATCAAGTAATAGTGTTTTCTGGTTTAGACGTCCACCCTTGGTTATGAACTTCAAAATGGTGTTATTTTTTGTGCTTTTGTAATATAAGTCAACCTCTAAATTTGCATTTGGTTCAAAAAACAAATTTTTAATGAGATATATAATTCTGTTATTCTAAGATGAGAACAAAATAATTTTTAAAAATTTAAATAATTAATCTAATTTTTTTCCCACTTTTAGTATAAAATTTAATTTGCAAATAAAATAAGATGAACTTTTCAGAATGCATGATGATTTCTGCTCTTTCACTTACAAATAAAGATGTTCTGTTATTATTTTAAAAAATTCTGGAAAATTGGTATAGTCTTGGACCAAATATAAAAACAAATATCTACTCAATTCTCAAAAAGTCTCAATCTGTGCCAATTTTTTCAAAAATTCATGAAATATGCCAAATTTTCATCTATAATATACAAATCCATTCTTTCAATCTATGGATTATATGGAACTCTTATGATGCTATGTAAAATGTTTATTTTTTTGTTATATAAAATTTTTACTTGTGCAACATTACTTTTATTATGTTTATAATTTACCCTAAAGATGCGGTTAATTTTTTATGAGTGAGACTTCAAAAAAGAATAAAATGAAAAATAGACTAAATGCGTAACAGCTGTATAATTAGCTGATCTTGAAGCTTTCCTTGCAATTTGGGAGTTTTAAAACTCAGATTATCTATTAGAAAGATAGGGTATTCTTTTTATGCCTTTATCTGGCTAATAAATTTTTTGATAAATCGGTTTTGTATTTAGTTTCTTTTAGTAATTTTCGATATATATTTTTTAAATTTTAGATTTATTGCATATCTGCCCAGCTTTTTTAGTTCAGTTGACTCTTCATGTTTAACATATATTCTTTAATTCTCTAAAAAATAGCCTAATCTTTTTATAATATAAGTTTTTTATTTAGTTTGACAATTTATTAAGTAGATTTTATTTTTACAATTATGTATGTTATTAAGAAAGCACTATGTTCAAATTATGTGCATGATAGGGCAATTCCACCATTAACTAATGTTGTATTTGTAAACTTACTCTTGGTATCATTTATACTCACTTTTAAAACTTTTATAAATTATTTTAAAAAAAACTAAGAACAGTCTGTTGCTGTAGAAATATTTTTTTCAACTTACGGAAGTTACTAAAAATTAGAGGGAATGTAAATGACACAAAGACTTATTTTCATAAATTATTAGAACTGCTCAGATTTTTTAAACTGAATTGTAATGCTTCTAAAGTTGCTAATATGATTTTCGTAAATGGTAAAATTGTCCAATAGCATTAAATAATTTTCTACAGGATTTATATTTGTCTTGTTTAATTTTTGGTTTTGTTGATTAAAACTCATTATTTGATTTTATATTAAATTTAAACTTCAGTTTAAATGCTTTTGTTTAAATTTGAAGATGCTATAATAATTTTTTAAATAACTTATTTTATGAGTGGGAAAGCTAAAATGTCTCAATTTAATAATTAGGTAGAAAACTGGTAATTGTCAGGGAAAACGAGATTCGAAAAAGGGTATTTGATACCCTATCAAATTGCTGTGTTTCACTTTTTCGTTTTCAACCATAATTTTTGCTTGTGCAATAGAGGATTTGAAAAAATCAGATTTTTTTTCAAAACTGATCATCATTAAGTGCATCCTCAAGATTTTTTTTATTCTTAAGTGTTTCTGGAATACTGTCAGAAACTTCTGCCTTGTTATTAACGTGTTATTTTTTTTTAATCGGCTTTTGTTTTTCAACTTTTTTATCTTTGATTTATTATAACAAATTGTTTTATAATTTCGGATCATGCATTAATTATTATGAACAAAATGCTTTTTATCGTCTACTATGCTTATTTATTTGATATCTATTGAAGAAACAATATTTTTTAATTGAATGAACTCTGATTGCCCAGTAGTGTGGTATCATTTGCAAGTTTTGGCTGATGTGGAATCACATCTGTTTTTAAAGATCGTCAGCTTTTATAAATAAAAACAGAAGATAGTTAATACATAAACATACAATTATTTATTGTTAAAAGCAGACTATTATTTTATGAAGCAGATTGCAGCTTTCTCTTTTTTCAAGTGATACATGTCTGATTTTACTACGTTTTAAGTTTTTAATCAATGCTAATATGTTGGGTTTTAAATGTTTATTGCACTTTTGTTTTAAAAAAATGTTCTTACGTTGGTTCAACTTCATTTATATACGGATTTTTAAAAAAAAATTATTTTTTTTATTAACTTGATAATAGTTTTTTTAAAAATGTTTCTGTCACATTTAAAATGTCATTCTGTCACGTTTATAGTTTTGGCAATCTGTATTATTTATAATCAGAGTTGACATTATTTAAATCATCTAATTTTTTTTAAATGAAAGTAATATATAATACTTTCTTGGAGTTGCATTTTCATTTATAATTTTAATTTATATTTTTATTAAATATAAATAAAAAAAACCCCGGCGTTTTTGTGAAAATGTACTTAGAAAAGACAGGGAAATTTTTTGCCCTTTCAAGTATGAATCCTGAATTATTTTTTGGAGTTAGAGTTGATTAATAAAATGAGGAAAAAAAATGATAATTTTAATGTGTGTTTGATTCTTAATTAAAATCTTTAGCAAAAAGTGCCTTTTACCTGAAATTAAATTAATTGATCACAATATTTTAGAATTCTGATCTCTGAAAAAAAAATGTTTATAATTCAGAATTTATTTCGTCATTTAGGGTTATTTAAAAGCTCTTGGAATGGCTAGAACTGCTGAGGTGAAGAGAGATGCCAGAATGGGGGAAGCAGAAGCTCGCCGAGATTCACAAATAAAGGTCGATAATGTTACATAATATATTCATAACATTTCATACTTTTAATTGTTACTAATATGCAAGTGGCATCACTTTTAAAGTTAATACAGTTATATGTATTATTTTTATATTGAATGTACTTCCTTAATATTTAAGTACTTTATTGATTTGTGTTTTGATCTGTATACTTTTTCATTTTTTGCTCCCAAAGAGTTTTAGCCAATTTAATTTACTCAATTATAGGTGCCAAATTTCTCCATTTTTCAGTTATCCTAATTTTTTCTTGCGACTCCTCCTAATTTCTGTTTATTTCTCCCTTTTTCTGTCTGAAAAATACCTTTTTAATAAAATTCTTTTTATTTACCAATTTTAAATTAAAATTAAGCTTAACAAACATTGTATTTTTTCTCATTTTATTAAAAAATAAGCAATAATAAAATCTTTTCATTTATTTTGTTTCAAATTATTAATGTTCATTTGGAAGAAACAATTTATTTAAAATGTTACTATTACCCTTTGAGTGCCTGTGCCCTTGGGCAAAAACATCAAGCAAATCTCTTTACTGATTCCTGCCTTTGTATAAACCTTGCTTCTTTTTAAAGAAAAAGGGAATTTTTCAAAAAAGAATCCCTATTTCATAATAAATATTATTTTTTACCTTTTCAATAACATTAACATAAAAATTATTTAATTTTTGTTTTGAAATATTAGCAGCTGTACCACATATAAATTTTAATTTCTGCTCATTTAGGTTAATTACTAAGTTATACATATGAATTTACATCTTTTATAATTTTTGTTTTCTAAAGCAGTTGAGTCTTAATTAATTGTTTCTCTATGAGTCATTCTTCATTTCATAGTAAAATAACATAAGGTATTTTCACTTGTGTGTAAAACTGTGGAAAATAATATTAATTTAAAGTGCAGATAATTTTAATCACTCATTAATATTGCTAACCATTGTACAATTATAATTTAAATTATAGAACAGATTCCTGATTAATTTATTCATTTAGTTTAAAAGAATGAAAATTATTGCTCTTTATGTGTTTTTTTCCTAAGATAAGAATAAATTTTCAATATTTGTAGTGTCCCTAATTTAATATCTTTTTAAAATACTATTTATCAAAATATTTTTTTATCAGTAATTAACAGTATTATGTTGGTTACCTTATGTTTTAGTCCACATACCTTTTTAAATGTTTCTTGTATTTTTTTAAAAATTAAAATTTTTTAAAAAAAATATACCCTAATTATGAAACTTGCATTTGAAAAATGTTTTTTTAAATTTTTATTTATGAAATTAGTCATTCTTTTTTTGTTGAGCTTTATTGTTGTATGAGTATGTTCTCTATAAAATTGAAATATTTAATTTTAAACCCTTTGAATTTTTTTTTGAATGAATTTTTTTAATGAATGAAATTAATGATTTTTTTTAACTCTGGTTCATTTTATTATATATCTTACAAGAAATCTTTTAGAATGTTATTTTAGCCAAGTTAGTGTGTATTCTTTATAAAAAATTATTTTATTGTTTAATATTTTTATCAATGAATCAAATGTAAGCATGTAAGATATTTTTTAGAATAAGTCAACAGGTAAAATTCAAGGTTCATTACACTTCAGCTAATATAGTAAAATCTGTATTTATGAAAGTACTAAGTTTTTTTTATCTCTGAAGAGTATTTTAGTTCCTCCTATAATTGCATATATTCTTAAAATTTATTTCATTCAATAGTTTTTTAAATGAAATTCACAATTACTGTACAAAATTTGTTAATAAGTTATATTTTATTTTTTTATGCATTTTTATATCTAGGCATGGAATTTATTTTATTATTTAATGTGAAAATAAAAAAGATAAAGAGCCTAGGGAAAAATAAGCATTTAAATGCAAAGAATTCATGTAAAAAATAATTTTTTAAGGAAATTTATGTATTTATTACTTATGGATAAGCAGTTCAGAAAAGCATTTAAAAAACATTCAAACATAAAGTTAATTACTATAAAGATAAAACCATTAATATACATATGAAAGATTTTGGTAAAAAAATTGTCTTTTTAATTAATAAAACAGTTTTTTTTTTTAAAAAATTATATAGTGGTTAATTCTTTAAATAAGCCATTTAGAAAGATTAACATTGCCTGTACCTGATCTCAATCTTTTTCAATCAATAGATTTCAAGTTGATTTTGATTGTATTTTTAGTACTATGTAAAATATATGTAAGAAAAGTTTTGACAGTGGAGTAATTTTTCAGTATCCTCAAAAATTTATTAGACAATATAAATCTTTAAAAAAGAAAAGAAGAAAAAAAAAGAAAAAATATTGAAAACTGAAAAATTGAGGGTTTGGAAAAAAAATTCATAACAGTCAGACAATATCAAAAATTGAGAAAGTTAACTTGTAATAGATAGAAATATGTATCTAATAATGATATAAAGCCCTTTTTAATGAGAAGGTATGTAATTGTACTTTCAGGAAGCTATTGCAGAAGAGGAAAGGATGGCAGCTAGATATCTCAATGACACAGAAATTGCTAAAGCACAGAGGGATTTTGAATTGAAGAAAGCTGCATATGATATGGAAGTTAACACCAAAGTAAATAGCTATAGTAATTCTTGAATACAGATTCTGTTTTTTTGGGAAAATTGCAAGTTTTAGATATATATGTTTTTTTAAATATTTTTATTTATAGAAAGCTGAATCAGATCTTGCTTATAATCTTCAAGCAGCAAAAACTCGCCAAAAAATTAAAGAAGAGCAGATGCAAGTAAAAGTTATTGAAAGAACTCAGGATATCCAAGTTCAAGAACAAGAAATTATGCGAAGGGAGAGGGAGTTAGAGGCCACTGTAAGACGCCCTGCTGAAGCTGAAAAGTATAAATTGGAAAAATTGGCAGAAGCCAACAGGTATTTTTAAAGGAATTCTTTTTACTCTTAATTTAGAATTATTCTATTTTATTTCTGGTATATTGAGCACAAATAATCATTATAAAATAGTTTTGTAGAAATAAGCATTGATTAAGCAGGGGTCTGTCCAGGCTGAATTTACTACCGTTTAGTGGTACCTTCACAAATTCAATTTTAGGTAAAACGGTAGTTTTACAAATTCAACTTTAGGAAAATCGGTAGTTTCACAAAATACTTTTTCTTAATATTTTATTTTTGTATCCCTTAAGAAACAATAACTCTATATTTTTACCATGTTTTTGTATTGATTTTTTTATATAATTTTTAATTTTTCACAAATTATATCAAAATTTTCACAAAATAGGTACCTTTCAGAAAAGCCTAAACAGACCCCTGTAAGTAAATACAGATCATTATTTTTTGTAAAGGAATTGTAAGTATTGTCGGCAAGTGTAACAGCAACAATGCCAGCACACAATCCTGCACCTATGACCCATGAAAGGCATCTGTCGGGAATGTGGTCGTGGCCAGAAAGACAAGTTACGCACAATATATTTTTTCTTCACTCGCCCTTCGCAGGACATCCATCCGTTTGCTATAACCCTAACAATGTTGGATGTACCTTGTAAAAAAAGAAAATCCAATTATCGTTTTTTTAAAAAAAAAGAACTATTACTTAAAACCTAAGAAAAAATAAAAAATAAATTATTAAATTAAAAAAAAATATTGTTACTTGAAACCTTATAAGAAATGCTATTACTTAAAAACTTATGACTGTAATTAAAATAATAGATGTCAGAAAATCACATAATTTAAATTGGTGTTTTGAGGGGTAATGTAAGTATTGAGGCACAACGTTGCTAGTGAATGATTGTATTTAAGTAAGAAGTGAAAAGGTTGGTGTGAAAAGGAGGGCAGAATAAGTTTAGGCTAACAGGAAGAATAACAATCAGCTTACTATATGTTTTTTTTCTGGGGTTTTAGTTTGATATTTCTTTCTTTCTTTTTGGTGTGGGCAAGTACATGTTTTCAACCTACCTACTTCATTTCCTGCAAAACAACTAATGTTGAATTGCAATTGAGAATCAAAATTTTAAGCCTTTTACTCCATCAATTTTGTTCACATAAAATTATTGGTTTTCTTAGCAGACAAACTGTATCACAAAGAAATTTTAAATTTAATTCATCACACTGATTCGCCTCTTGCAGGCAGATTCTGATTGAATATTGACAAGCTGGCTGGACATGTAAGGGTGAATAATAAATGTCTAATTAGAATTTTTACATGATCCAAGCTTGTTGTGCTACAAAAATTTCGCTTTTTTGTTATTAGCCTTGATCAATAAATCTTTAAAAGTAAATTCAAATTTGTGATATAATCTATTAACAACATTAAATGTGTTAAATTTTATTTTAGAAATCGTGTCATAATGGAGGCGGAAGCAGAAGCTGAAGCAATCAGGGTAAAATTATTTAATTTTTTATAAGCTAGAATAATTTTGTTCATTTTATTTGTAATACTTCAAAGAATTTTTTTTTTTATGTATGTAAATATGTGTATGTATTTGTCTTTCTTTTTAGTAAAAGAATATTCTATATTTTTTACTGATTTTTTTTTCTTTATATTTTTTAACTATTTCTTGAGAGAGCAGATACTGTTTGTCTTTAAATGATTTTTAAATTCTGAGAAGTTTAATAGTTAAAAATTTATTTAGTTCCTGCTTTTAAAATAATTTGGTAAACAATTTGAATTAAAGGATAGAAAAATTCCTGAATGAAACTCAATTTTAAAAATTTTAATTTCTTTTCTAAAATTCTTATGATTTATATTCTTCAGCTTAGAGGAGAAGCAGAGGCTTTTGCAGTGGAAGCCAAAGCGAAAGCTGAGGCAGAACAAATGGCTAAAAAAGCTGATGCATTTAGAGAATACAAAGATGCAGCAATGGTAGACATGTTTTTGGAAACTTTGCCCAAAGTAAGTGAACATGAAATAATTAATTCATATAAACTATATCATTGGTTTGTGAGCATATTTATTAATTTGATATGAATGGTTTTCCTCCACTATAAAGAATTCTTTGCTTTTTTTATGATGCTAATTTCGTAACATTTTTAGTAAATAGCCTGGGTAGCTTGTCAAGAATTTTGAAACTGAGTAGTGTTAGCTGTCTTTTGTAGAAATAGTTGTCTGCTTTTTACTGTCTATTTCACTTTAAAAGTATTATTATTTATATGAAACCTGTGGGAATATATAAAATATTAAAATATTTTTCCAAATTGTAGAATGATCGACAAATTATGAAAGAGTATATGTTGTAGAAAGCTAAAAAAATAAAAAAATAAATGTATAGTTAATTTTAAAGGTATATGCATCAGGTTGAAGTTGAAAGAAGCTTATATTAATTATATTCATGTAATGTAGCATGTAAATCTTCCTAAAATTTTTAGTTATGTTATTTTCAAGATTTATTCCTTCAAACTTAATATAAAATAAAAGTTCCTTGAAAATTTTGTACTATAAATAAACTTTTTTTTTTAACAAATGGGCAACTTGGTCTAATTTGCTTATGAATTTACTTACAGAGCTTTTTTTCCCTATAGATACCATAGAAAATTAGTGAATACTAAGAGTTGTGTATTGATGTGTATTCACAATGATTCTCTTCTTTCTTTTTTTTTCCTTTTTATTATTATTACTTGAACAGTATTGCTGATTTGCTTTTACTTATCCATTTTCCTAAACTTTATCTAGATTTGAAATCAATTATCTATTCAATTATACTTACATTTTTAAATCCATCTTTATTCTAATTAAATCTTTATTAAGAATATATAAGTCATAAAGTGTTTTACGTTCAACTTGCACTGTTACTAGCTTTCGACTTTATAAAAACCAATATGAAAAATTTAATTATTTATTTATTTATTTTAATGTATATATTTATTTGTAAGAAGTTTAACAAAGAAGAAATATTTTGGTCTCCTGTTATCACAAGATCCATATTGATAGCCTTAAAAGTTATGTTAAATTATTATTATATTTGCTCTAGGAAGAGAAATGGCCAATACATTAAACAGAATAGGCAAAAAACAGTGCAAACAACTACATACTATTGGTTGACTGGACAAATATATCTTTGACTATACAAAAATATATAAATATATCTATAAAAACTAACCCGTAGCTTCTAAATAAATAAAAATATAATTTTCTTTTATTTATTACAAACATTTATATAAATTGCGCAATGAATTAGTAGTTACTAGGATTACAAATACTAGAATTACATTATACAGTAATAACAGTAATAAAAGAAATACTAGGTTACTAATAGTAACCTAGTATCTCTTTTATGAAATAATTTCATTTCTTTTATGAAATAATTTAACACTATACTCTTGTAAGATAACAAAAATTGAAAGTGTATCACGAACATTAACGGGAAAATGGCTGACCGCGCGAGCGCCAGATTCGGGAAATTCGTTGTCCGTGGGAAATTTTTGACCGCCGAGGACAGGTGGTTTTTTGAGCCCTGATTCGGAGGGTTCCCCCTGAGTTCCGGGTTTTTCGTATTATTATTCTAAAAATTAAGAGTAGGCATATGGTTTTTCTGGTAATATTGAGAAATTCCGTGTTTTACAAAGTTATTTGTTCTCGGACTTTCGCTGATCAAAAACTTATAATCTGGCAAAATTTTCACGGAAATCTTCATTCTAATATCAAAATTTGAATTTTTCTCTTATTCCTGATAAGGAGACTCTTACATTCACATGATTCTTCCGCCAATTGATTATTTTCTTTTGGTGGGTTTTCGCTATTTTGAGTATTTGGAATTGCGTTGAAATCCGTTAGTATCGCAATTCCTATTCTCGCGTGTCGAATATTAAACACCGATTATTGTATTCACCTTTGTTTAAAAGTTACACATTACTGTTTGTATTAACATGGTTTAAAAATTCAATGTCGTGATTTATATTCACATGATTTTAAAATCCAATATCGTGATTCTTTTAAGTTTTTTTTTAAATTAGTTAATGTTAAGGTGTGATATTCTTCATTTTTATGTAATTTAATTAAAAATATTATTTAAAAAAATTATGTTAATTACAAAACATGTATGGTATATAAATTGATATCGATTTTTTGCACATTAATTCCAAAACAGATTATTTATTTTTTGAAAATTTCTGAAAACATCTACATAGCATGATATCTATGCATTTTCAACCGACTGAGTTTAAGGTTTTTGCATTTTGTGTAGATAAAATTGTGTGAAGTATGTAGTGTAAATGTTTAAAAAAATAAATTATTTGGATTATTTCATATTAAAGTATAAATATTGTAAGAATATGTTAGAATGAAATCATTTTAGGTCTGTTGTAACTATTTTGAGACTATTTTACATTTTTGAAGCAACTGAAGTTATTAATTTTGGAGTCTTACTCCAGTGGCAGCCTTGCCTTAAATAACAAAGGCATGTAATTTTTTTAGAAACTTTTATAACTTGTTTATATTCATACAAGTTCTCATTATTTATTAAAAAGAGTGCAGCTTGAAAAGAGACTTTTACGTGCAGTATCTTTAGAGTGTTAATGCTCTGATATGATTGCAATTTTAAAATTTAACTACTAATTTCTGAATTACTGACTTCCTTAGTGCAGTTTTTTCTTGAAACTTTATTTTTGTTTAGTCTGTAGTATCTATATGTATTTTATTTTAAAAATCTCAATATTTTTATTTAGGTTGCTGCTGAAGTTTCAGCTCCATTGTCTCAGTGCAGGAAGGTCACTATGGTTTCATCAGGTAAAGGTGACGTTGGGGCTAGTAAATTAACAGGTGAAGTTATGGATATAATTTCTAAAGTTCCACAAGTTGTAAGTCAGTTGACTGGGGTGAACATCACTCATGTAGGTATTTCAACTTTTACTTCCTCTTAACTACAGAATTATTTTCCTTCCCATTTAGCTTAACCAAATATAACTACTGATTTGAATAAATTAATTTTGTAATGAAAGTGCTTGGGAAAATGTAGTACTTAGCCATACTATTTCTTAAGGTGACATTTCCATATCTGTTACTTAGTACCTGATACAGAGAGGTTCTTACAAGTTTTATGAATTTTTTTTCTCCAAAAATTGGCACAATTCAGAGAAATATTTTGTTGTTTACATGGAATTTGTGGTATTTTTAACAAAACTGAACAATTCGAAAACGTGACTTCTCATTATATTGTCTCAAGCCCTTTAATTACATGAGAGACATAAATTATTTAATTTTATCATTTTAACAAATAATAAGCATTGTTATACGTATTGCCAAAATTGCTTTATTAGTTCATTTAGTTTTTAGTGGGATATTTACATATTTTATCAAAAAGATAAACTGGTAAAGATGAATTTATTATATACATTTGCAAATTTTTCACTTATACTTAAGTTATATTTTATAATATAATGTCTACAGATGTGACTAAAAATAGTTTCAAACAAAGATTACACTCTCCTTCATTGTTTTGTAGTTTTTAATGATGTAATTATAAATTGTTTAAATGAAATCATGAAGTCACATAATTTATTTGAAAAATTTATAATTACATCATTACAATAGTTGTAAGTTTGTAAAAACTATTTGGCAGTTTTAATACATAGTTATTAAAAAAAACTACTTTACTTGTTTTAAAAAAGTGGTATTTTAAACTTTATATAACTTCGGAGGTGGTGAAAAGGACAAAATATTTGCCTTTGCAAACATTTCATAAATAGTTCATTTTCTAGTATTGCTTTTAGGTGTGTAGTGGCAGGTGAATTAATGTCTAATATGTAAACATATTTTTGCTGTGTAACTGATTTTTTAACTTTAGAGACTGTGCAATAAATTTTCTTTCTTGTTTCCAAATGGCAGAAAACTAAAGGAACCAAAAACAAGGAATTAAAAACACGTAAAGCCAAGGAACTAAAAACACATTATCTAGAAATATAAATAATTATTATTATTTTTTTAACAAAGAATTTCATGTAGCTTCTTGTTATTTTGTAGAAAATAAACATGATGCAAAAAGACCCCTCATTTTCTCATCTTAACTCTTAAATACATCTATTTCATATATAACTCATTCACCATTGAACACTGTTAGCATCACCAACTTAACAGGTCACCATCACAATAACCTGTTCACACACATCCGTCTCTGTTTCATAATGGTTTTTCTAACCCCCTATTGCTTTTTAAAATTAAAATTTAAGCTATATTTATATGTAGTATAATTGTGAAACATTGTGAAAATAATAATAATGTACTACGATGCAGTAAATGTTAGTTCTGAAACATACTGTAAATGAAATGGGCAAACAATAGCTTGTGATAAAGTTTTAAACATCAAAAAAGAACATTTTCCTTTAAAAATGTATACTCCATTACTCAAATACTATGATAATGTATACAATGTGCAAGAATAGTATTGAAAACCATAATTCTTTAATTATCAGCTGCATTCTCTAGGATAAAAACAAAGTTTAAACATTCAATTTTGTAAAGATAATTATTGAATATCTATAACTTTGGTATCAGACTGCTTAAGAATTCTTTGTAGTTTTCAAATATATATATATATATTTACTATATTTCTGATTAACAAAAACTTATAAATATGGTTTGGGCTGAAAAAGATGAGAAATGATCGTTTGAGCTGAGAAAGATGCAAAATGATGAAGGGTTGCAGCATTAGAATGTTTAGAAAAAAATGCAGATTATGTGCTTATGCCCCACAAATAATTGAGTTTGCCCCTGAAATATGTAGCATAACATTTTTAAACTTTGTAGATTGAACTTTGCATACAGACAAAATGGATTGCATAGATTTTTGCCATATTAGATTTTTTGTCTTAATGGACTTATAAATGAATAATTTTAATATTGAAAAGACTTGCATTTATTTGACTAATAAAAATACTTAAAAATTTCTACTAATCCTTAAAATATATGTCAAATAATAATTATAAATTCCTAATATTCTTATGATTCCTAAATGTTTTTTAACACATTTGGTAAGTTTTTAAAAGAAATACTGTAATAAGTTTTTTGATTTCTTTAATTCATCTAAAAGTTTATAAAATATTTTTGCAATTTTTAACTTGTGGAAAATTTATTGTACGAAAAAGAAGGTACTCATAGCTTTTTAATATTTTTTAAATAAATTTGTTAAAAATATTTTTTTGTGTTATGAAATGAATTTTATAAAACTATCATTTTTGATTTTATCATTATATTAATTTAAAAATATAATAAATGTATGATCTAGATATGTGAAAACTTCCATTCTCTACATAAAAAAATTACGTATTGTTTTCTAAACTAGCAGTTACCAATCGCTCTCATCTATGGAGCCTTAAACAATCTACCTATTTTTAGCAGAACCCTGACTTAATAAATATAATTCAAATTATTTTGAAAATATGTAATGTTTTTAGAGATGTGGTTTTTACGTCAAACAATCTGGAGTGGTAATTAGTCTAGTTCTAAATTTACTTTTGGTGCATACATTAGCACATTATTATAAAGTTTAATTTTACTCTATCTTGAATTGTTATGTTCAAAGGGAAATTCTTTCTAAATGCATTTCATTATTTTTCAATATATAGTTATTAAAAATAAAGTACATTTCTGAATTTTGTAATCTTTTTGCTGGTATTTTACTTAAATGATCATGATCATAAAATATTATTTAAATTATAGATTTTTTAATGGATCTAAATATATTTGCAAATGTTAATAAGTCTGCCAGTAGTAAAGAGTTCTAGTTCTTGGTACCCTTCAGACTCTTCCACGAAATCCTAGTGTTCTGTGAAACATTTTCTATTGAACTACTGTTCTAAATTTATAGTAAAATACTACAAACTATTAACTAGTGATAGTGCTTAAATTTTGTTTCATTGAAATTGATTATGCATTCATTAAATTATGCATTCTAACAATAACAATTTGAAGTAAAAAAAATAAAAAATAAAAAAAATTAAAGGGTTATTCTGATATTACTTGGCTTACACACAAGTGATTATCATAGTAATTTTGTTTATTTTTAAGTAAATCATCAATTTATACAAATTAAAATTTTCAGCTTTTTCAATATATAAATCATAGTTTTTTGTTTCAAGGGGTTAAACCCCCCTAAAAGAAGCCCATTTTAGGGGGTTTAAAAGCTCGTTTAAGCCCATGTATAAAAAGTAATATAGTAAAGCTGTAATTGAAGAAATTTTTTTGGAAATTTTGAAAGATTATTTGAAACAAGGGATTTATTCCCTTCCAATGCCAGGATTATAAAGAATGTGACTGAATTTTTAAATTAAAACTAAGTTTCTCTACAAACATTAAAGTAGTTTTTATTTTATCTTACTTTAAAATATTTTTTTTGCATTTTGGCTTTATTACCCACTTTCAATCTAGTGTAAACTTAATTCCTATTTTTTTTATATATATATATATTAAAAATTTGAAAGAAACATTGTGCTATGATATTATGTTATTTTATTTATAATTATTATTTTTTATTTCTATGAGAAAAAAAATTAAATCTAGATATAATAGGTTTTATTTGTATAATTCCATATTTGATAATTATAATGATTATTATAAATTTTTATTCAGTTTTGGATTTAAATAGAAATGCAACTAAATATTTACAGATATTAGATAAAAATAAGATCTTAGAATATGCAGACTTTTTTTTTGTTGTATTTTAATTTTTGACCATCAAAATGTAGTTGTATTTGTAGCCAAAACATTTGCCACAATGTTAGTTCTTTGTAAATGAAGTTTGATTTTTGGTTATAGCTCTATATTTCAGAAAAGTAAATGTCTTTACTATTGTTCTTCCAATTTTCTGAAAAAGAACCTTCTTTTTTAGTCCATGAAGCTTGCTCAAGCGGCAATGTGAGTTTGTTTTCAAGCCCATTCTTCAGATATTACTCCACTGAAAAATCGCTTTAATTAATGTGTGAATTGATATTTGCGCTTTAAATTTTGTAAATATTCAAGTGATTGCAATTTTTGCTACTTTTGATCTTACAACTTTTATAAACGATTATTTGCTAATGCAATTTGACACTTTATATGTGTGTGATTTTTCAATATAAGAAATTTTTTCTGATTATAGTTTGTGCCTTTGTCATGTTGAATAAGTTCATAATTGCATGATGGCCCATTTTAGGATGGTCTAATTTTTTTCGCATTAATGAATTGTTTGATAAAATTGTATTATAAGAATTATTTTTACCACAACCAACTCATGCTTTTAATAAATGACCCAAAATATTTTTTTAAAATTATAATTAATTTTTTAAATTTTTTTTTAGGAAAAATAGTTTAAAATTTTAAATATTTTGTTTCCAAAACATTCTGGTTTTGTCAAATTAACGAAATTATTAAGATATGTTGATTTTACATCAGAGTTCTTATCAGACTGTACAGATGTATTTAATTAGAAGCATTACTTAAATATATATTTAGTTTTTATAAAAGTTGTTTCTTCTGATTTAAGTTAGCAGCATAATAAGAAAAAGACCAATCTCAGTGGGCTATTTTGTAACTTCATCACTCATGCTATATATTTTAACAATCCACATTTGTATATTTTAAAGTATCAACTTAACCAATGCAGCTTTTAAAATTTTATATAAATTTTGTACAGCTTAAACTTTATTTTGTTAATGACTTTTTATAATATATTTATAATTTATGGGCATTATTGCAAATACATTTATTTTGATTATGTTATGAATATTTAATGAAAATTTATTTTATACCATCTTGTTGAATCTCAAAGCAGAAATCATTTTATACGTCATCTAGTTGTTTTATTGTGCAAACTTTTCTTCATGTACTGAAAGCATATTACGAGGAAAAAATAAGCACAGTATATTGTATAATCTAATCATCATTCTTGATTTTATGTAGTGCCATTTTGTTTATTACTGTAATCTTATAATTTCGCTATTACATTTATTATGTGAGCTAACATTTTAAAGAAAAATTATATTTTTATAGTTCCTTTTTTCAGCTTTTATTTTTATGTGATAGTTTTTTTCCCACTCCATTCAGGAAAACAAGAAGTTGAGATTAAATACAGTTTATAGTGATGGTTATCACTTCATTTAGCTATGAAAATGAATTGAATGATGACAAATTTTTCTAATGCTTAAATTGAAAATTACTATTTAAAATTTATTAATTTTATTTAATGCTTTTTCATTATATATTTTGTTCAAAGTTTGCCATTTATGTATTCTATTTTATTCTTTCAGTATGTGTAAATTTTTGCATTGTGTTGAATTAATTATTCGAACAATAAGTTTATGTATAAAGGTTGGTATTGATGGCAGTTAACACTTCATTTAACCACAAAAATGAAGTGAATAATGCCGAATTATAATTGATAAATATATTTTTTAAAATTTTTTTTTTACACATAATGTAGTATCTTTATTAAATTTCACTGTCTAGTTTTCCTGAATGGATTATAGTCTATTCATATACTTATGTTTTTGAACTATTTGGTCAGTATTTGTCAAAATAATACGTTGTATTTTTTATTTTTGTTATATTTTATATATATATGTACTAGAATATTTTTTTCATTAGCCTGTAATTAAAATTTTCAAAAGAATTTTTAAAACATTTCTTCATTAAAACAACATTATTTAGTTATTCACAAACTTTATTAAACTTTCGTACAAACTTCATTATGTAAGATTATCTTTTTTTCTCTGTATCTGTTTAGTAACAAATTTTCTATGCCTGAGAATATTCTTAGTTGAATACTATACAATCAAATTTTGCTCAAAGATTATGACTTAACTTACAAACAAAAACTTACTGCACAGTTATAAATATTATTTTAAAAATATTTGTTAATTAAATTTGTTTAAAATGAATATATTAATTTTCTTGACCCCATATTTATTTAAAAAATTTTTCTTCAGGGTAAAGCTTTCAACAATAGTTTGTTGAAATTTGTTTTTGATCATATTTTGTAGACTATTTTGAACCTTTTTTGTTTTGCATTTGCCACATAATCCTGATTGAATTAGGCAACTAATTTTATTGATTTTGAGCATCTTTTATCTTCTAATTTTTTAAAATTGTTTTTAAGTCTGATGGATGTTTCTATTGTTTTATTGTTTAAGGTAAGTTAATGTTAGTTTGGCTTGATTCATGTTATTATTAAATTCCCCTTTTTTGTTTTATTGTAAATTATTTTAAAGATAAGATCTAGTTTTTCCTTTTAATAATTAAAATATCCTATGTGTTGATACTTTTTTTATTTTTATTTTCTTGCTTTTGTAAATAAACAAGAATATTATTTTTGCACTCAATGTAGCTTTAGAATTTCTCGCAGCTCAAAGTGTGCTATAACCAATATTTCAATGGTTACCAAAGAAATTCTATTATACAACCATTTACAAACTTTATAAATGTGTTATTGTTATATTTTATAGGTAATTTTGAGTGAAAAAAAAAGTGTATTTTAGCAATAGAAATTGTATAGCTAACAAATTCAGTATACCTTATAGTTGCCCTCTGTAGATTATCTTGATTATTTGCATATTACTGAATGTAGTGTTAATAAAGTGTTTTATCTCTTCAAATGCATTCATTTTATGGAGCTGCTAAGTAATTTTTGCTGAACTTTTGTCAAAATTTTTGTATTTTTTTATATTTAGAAGTCCCTAGACATTTGTGGTAATTTGGAATCAGTATTATGTCTTATAAGGTTATTATTTATTAAGTTTGAGTTATGAAACAATTGAGTGTAATGGAGCAGTGAACATAGTATATAAAATTAAAGTACTGTACGCCTGCAACAGCCGATCGTTGGTCAGAGGGTACATAGAGGTTGAGGCTCCACAATTTCGAATAGTCATGCCATTATAGGCCCTGAAATATTTTCTAGTTTTTGAATTTCCATTATTTTATAACATTTATATTCATATTTTATCATTATTCCTGATCCACTTTTAATTAAATAAAACAGTTACTTAATTTTTCATTCATTTTTATAAGGAGCAGAAGCAAATATTTAAATTTTTTCACATTTCTCAATAGGTTGTTTAAAAATGTAATTGCAATGCAATTATGTTTATTTAATTGAATCGATTAATGAATTATTCTTATCTAAGTATCAAAATCTATTTTCAATCTTTCTTTATTTCAGTTGCAATCTTTCTTTATTCAGTTGAAATCCCTTCCCCAAGCTTTGGGTTGGGGACTTCATGCTTGTTTGAATTTGGTACCTACAGCACATGGTGTGCCGTTGACCCTCAGTCAAATCATTGAAAATAAAACTTTTCAACCTTTTAAAATATGAGCAGTTTAAATCATGGCTTCTTAATCTTTATCTAATTCTCTCTCTTTTGGAAATCTTTCTTTTGAATTAATCTTTATCCAAATATCTCTTTTGATAGTGCTAGGAGTAATATATGAAAAGCAAATTAGCTAGATATACAGAGTTAATTAAGGTTGGAACAATTTCCCATTGGGATTAAGGGAGTTTGACCAAACAAGTACAATCAGTTAAATAAGAGAAAGGCTTTATTGATGATGATATTGGGCACAAACGCTACTGTTCTTAACCTAATGTTTTTTAACTTTTACTTCCTTGCAACTTTTCAGTGACTCTACTTATGTCTTGTCCCTCTTTCTCTCTTCACTGGTCAATTTGTTTTCATACTAGACTCAAATAATTCTGTAGTATTTCTGTTCCTCCCCTCCCCCGCTTTATTTTATGCGCTGTAGCTTACGTCTCCCTCTCTTCTTTGTCAGATTTTGTTTTATCGTATAGATTCGAATGATTCGGTAGCTTTTCTTTTCTCTTTTTTCGCTAGCTTCATTTTATGTCATGGAGCTTATTATTGTATGCTCTTATTATCTGGTCCTAATTTCCCTCTTCATTGGTTAATTTTGTTTTTCATACTAAATTCAAATGACTTTGTAGTATTTTTTTTTCTTTCTTCATTTTGTGTTCTGGAGCTGTCTGGTCTTGCTTTTTCCCTTAACTAGTTAATCTTTTGTTTTTTTAAATACTAATTTCAAATGATTGTGTTGTACTATAGTTTCTTTTCCTGCTTCATTTTATGTTCTGGAGCTTGTTGGAGTTATTTGTGCTGTTATTGTACTAAAATCGGTATTATCGTTGTTTTACTTTTAAAATGTTGCGCAAGGTTTCACAGGCGGATGTCCCTTTTTTAACTGGATATGTTTGCTCTATAAATTGTTCTCTACATCATTATACAGAAACACCAAAAATAGCCCTTCTGTAGTGAAATAATTATTAAAAAATCTGGAGTAATAGTCAAAATAAAAAAATCATTGTCAATGGTTAATTAAATAAAACCAGGTAAAAGGCAACAGACACTTCATAATTACTACAATATTAAACGATATTGATAAATTTTACGTCTTAAATTAAGAATTGGTAATATTTTAGGTAAAATGTGTAAAAAAAATTTTTTTTCACAAGTCACTGAAAAGGAGTTTACCACTTAGATGTCGCATTTTTGCCATCACATCCTCAGAAAAAGGTAAGCAAAGGTGGAGTAAGTGTGTTTTCAAATGTAGGTATACGTAATTTATGAATTTACTATTTAAGAATTTATGAATGTTCTCATGTTTTCTTTTTAGAGTTGTACTGACAAATCTCAAGTTTGTCAGTGCTCAAACATGAGATCTCATGTTTGTCAGTGCTTATTCTTAAAGAGAATTTCTATTACTAAAAACTTCTTTTTTACATACTTTTGTTTTTTATCAGTGGGAAAAAATGCAAGAAAGAAAAGAAGAAAAGTTTGTGGTATGTTTGTATGGCATTTACTTTTATAAATATTTTCTTTAGTGCCCCATGTATAAGGTTTCTCGCTTTTCAACTTCGATGCAAAACTTGATATAGGCATACTAATTATTACAGATTTTTGTATTATTTCAATGGGGCTTTTCATTTCTACGGAATGATGGGGAAAAAAACTCATTTTTTGATTTTTCAGTTATTTTTATTTTTAGTTCTTTCTTTTTGTATTAAGTTTGCGGCATCTCATCCATTGCCATGTTTTTGCAATTTGGAGACAATATTTTATTTTTTGGGTTAGCGTTTTAACTGTTATACTTGCTATCTTATTGTGATAGTGGTATTAAAAAATACTTTTTGTTAGGTCTAATATTTTCATTACATACTTGTTTGTATTAAATTAAATGAATTAAAGTTTTTTTTCCCGATTCATATAAGCAAAGATTTGTGAAAAGAATTTTGAGTTTAAAGGACCTTTTAATTTTTTTTTAATTGAATGCTTTTGCAAAGTCTAGTGAGAAAGTTGGAATTTAATTTGGGAATTAAATTCTGATAACTTCATGGGAATTAAGTTCAATTTTCTATCAGTAGCAAATCTTAATAATTTTATATATATTTATAATTTACTGAAATAAGTTAAAAACATTGATTTTGCTGTGTTTCAAACTTGATTACGAAATTGCTGGGCAATAGCTTTTTGTTGGGGATTCGAATTCGTTGCAATAAAATCTACTTGAATCATCATATAGAATTGAAGGGCTTTGAGCAATAAATCAATCACATTGTTTTCGCAATTTTTATCAGATATAAGCGCAATACATAGACACATTTTATTAGTGCAAGAACACTGTGTTATTTTTCACTGAAAATACCCAGAACAATATGGAAATGTGGCTTATCATTATACTGCACTAAGGATACTCCAAAGAATTTTTTCGATTCTAATTGACAACATACAATCAACAGAGGCTCTTAACATTTCCAATGTTTCAATATTGTTGATTATGTTGTGTTACCTAATGAGTTATGCTTGAGGAAGGATATATGAGCCACATGCACTAATGTGTAGAGAAAATCTTTTTGATGCTTAATAAGAGAGAGGCGAATATTTATGTTTTGGCTATAAGGTCAGTAAGCAGTCAACACAAAATGAAAAAAAAAAAATCAAGCATTGTTAGAGATTTTTACTTATTGTATTGAAAGGTAAAATGTTTTAGGAGTAGTACAAAAATTATGTTAGTATATTTTGGTAATTCAGAACCCTCCATTCTCGTCTGGAAAAATCAGCAGATCACAATCATTAAGCTTACATAGAACTTTTATCTCCAATTTACAATGTATTTTAATATACTTTCTTTCGAATACAGGAGACAAGGTCTTGCTTAAACATCGCTCATAGCTCTTCTTGGCAGATCGCAAACCCTTTACTTTTTGTTTTCTTTAATATTTGAAGGACCTTTCTTTTTTTTATTTTTATGATCCGTGGTTATTTTGCGTGGTAAGACAAATGGCTACCTGCATTTCAAGAAGATCACAAATACCCACACATGTGACCTATGACGTCAGCACCAGCTGATCGTTTATAAGCAAAATAGCGTGTTAAAATTGAACTAATTTTCTCCACATTACTTAGAATGTTAATTAGCGTGAAATTAATTAAATTCAGAGCCGTATCGCACATCAAATTAATTTAAATTTATTATTTATTTATGTCTTTTGTTGTAACCGTGATATAATTTTGCTTTGTGTAACTGGCAACTTCGATACATAATTAGTTTGTTTATATTCTACATGGCTTCGTGCCTGTCTTTGTGTTAAGAAATATATAGTGAAAGAATTGAAGTCTTTGTGAAAATAATATCTAGTGAGTTTCGTAAGAGAATTAGTACTTTCCGGTTTGGCTTACTCGAAACTGAATTGAAAGAATAGTTGCTAACTTAAACAAATGCCACGTTTTAACAACCAATCAAGATCGAGATACCCACACTACGCCACTTGCGGGTGTCCCATTGTCGATTCGGGTAGTAAAAACTTGCAGATTTATGCTATGAAAAAAAAGTAAAATGTAAATACTTTTCAATATAATGCTATGTTGTTTTTTGTTTAAATAGGTTTGCACTGTTATTCTATCAAATACATATGCCACCTGATGGAGCCTTCTCAATGAGTTCACCAAGGTTTGAATCACAGCTGTTGCTGGTTGATTCGAATTCTGCTTCCGGTTCGCACCGACCACAGTGCTGACGTAAAATACCCTCAGTGATAGACGATTCATGGGGTAGAATTCCCATTATCGCCGGGTTAACCGTGGGAGGTCTTTGTGGTTTCCTTCTCCATATAACGCAAATGCGAGTTAGTTCCATCAAATGGTCCTCCAGAGAGGCTAATATGTCCCAGTGCTTGACTCAGGAGCTCCCTTGTCTTCTGGGTTGGATTCTAAATTGCAAGGCTATGCAGTTGAATATTGCTAGTCGCAAACTCAGAAACTTATCGGCTGCTCAGAGCTGGTTATAAAATAATATAAAATATGCCTACTGATGACTAATAAATGTATGTTGCGCATAATTCGTTTTGTGTAGCAATAACAAATAATTGAAAGCAGCAAATATAACGCCAAGGAAGTGTTGTAAATATATGTTGAGCATTTAGGATTTTTTTCCTCGCCTTTTTGTACAAACAAATATTAAATAAAATACCCTGTATTTCTGTCCAAACTGCTTTTATTGCTCACCTTGCTAGTTTCGGATTGCTGAGCTTTAAGTTCGTTTTGATGTTGAAATCTTCATATTTCAACATCAAAATCAATTTAAGTTATTAATTGATAATATCGTTAAATACTTCATATTGAGATGTAGAGTGTTTAAAAATAAATTTATTTTTTTATCGAAAATCAATAAGTTGAATATTTAAATGTTTTCGTAATGAGATCGAATTCAAAATAAGCCCTTTTTGAGAATTTTTTTTTCATTTAAAAGAGAGCGTGGAAAATCTCCAGTTTGAAATGAGATATCATTCTATTCTTTTATTTGATTTCAATTAACGAGTTCTGCATTTGACATGATTAATTGAATCTTTCTCAAAATTATTTTTAAATTGAATTGAAATAAAAATGGAACGTAACTTTAAAAAAAATTATTTCTCTTTTCTCCCATGCGTTTTAAAATTGTCACATTCCACGCGTATGTTTTAAGAATGGTAAGTTAAGACACCCGGGGTAATTATGTTTGGTGTTAATTTGAAACGTTCTTATTTTTTAATTAAACTTCTGAATGCGGGTCAGTTTTGAGTTCAATCGCTTCGATTATCCTGCAATCACTAGAAATTGGCTAGATTTTTCAGACAAATTTTTAAACAGCTACAAATAGTTTCTCTTTATCCTTTTTAAATTAAGTTGGTGACAATTATTTTGCTATTTGTGGGAGGGGGAGAAAAGCTGCTTACTTTTGAACCTCTGGTGAAATTCAGTTAAAATTACGAGCAGCTAGGGCTTACAGCACCCATTGCCTAACTCTGTTTTTGCGCACCTTTAAGTGATCGCAGATTTAAGGATGCTTTTTAGGACCATTTTAAGATTATTCAGATTGTGATAAAATTGAAATCCTTTACACTTGACATTAGATTATTAAATTTTACATTGAATAAGATATTGAAATTTTAAATAATGTTTTTTTTAAAACAGAGTAACTCGATATAACTTAATAAATTTTCATCAAATTGCTTTTTAAATTTAATAGTGAATGATATTAATATAGTTTCTATTATACTTAAATATTATGTATCGCGTTTATTTTTTATTGTTTAATTGATAAGCATTTATAAATAAGGACTCGTTTCATTCATTATGTTGACAAATTGTCAAAAGTAACATTAGGAAGAATAAAACCTACGTGCACAGCAAACTACAATAATAATAAGAGACATGCTGTTCACTTTTTAGGTAAATCGGATAAAAATTTAGAGAAGTTATAAGGCTCTTTATTAGTAAATGAATCTAGGGTTATTTTATTTTATAACCGTTGTTGAACAGCCGACCCAATCCTATGGGTTTACGACTACCAATGTTCAACTCCGTAGCCTTGTAATTTTGAACCCAATTCAGAAGACAAGGGAATTCCTGGATCGAGTATTGGGAGAAATTTGCCTTCGGGGAGGACTCTTTGATGGAGCTAACCCGCATTTGCGTTACATGGAGAGGAAAACCACGAGAACCTACCACGGTTACTCTGACAGCAAGGGGACTCTAACCCATGATCCGTCTACTACTGAGGATATTTCACGTCAGCACTGTGGCTGGCGCACGCCGGATGCGGAATTCGCATCGACTGAGATTCGAACCCGGTTCGCCTCATTGGAAGGCGAACGCTCTATCCCCTGAGCCATCGCGGCTCAATCTAGGGTTATTGAAAAGAGAAAAACATTTTATTACGTGGAATTTATTTTTTATGAATTTTCTTAGCTTCCTCCAGGGACAGATGCCCCTTTTTTACGCCACAGAAAACTTTGTGGCTGAATTGAGGGCCATTTCGATTTTTTTTAAATCATATTCATTCTTGTTATTGTTACTCAATTTCCGTAGAAAATGTCAAAATGTATGTAACACTTCTCTTTAGATATACTTGAGCGAGTTTTACATAATTTGGCTATTAATGTTTCCTGCATAAGCTTGTCGAACGTGTTATTTCATGCTCAATAATTGTCACCTTATGTTTACAATTAGTATATTTCAGGTAATTTAATTTAAATGCACGTTTCATGTAATAATATAGTACTCATAAAAAGAAAAAAATATTGTAAATTGTGTAAAATATGTGTTTTGTTGGAAATGAAATAAGTTGTAATAATGAGCATTATTATTGTGTAACAGTGGGTAATTTAACTAGCTGGAGTAAGTGTGACAGTTATTTAAAACAAAAGTTTTAACACCGCAGCAGATTCTTGAATGGAAACAGAGCACTGTTTGCCCCATAATTAGATGGCCAATTGTATTATCTTAAATAGGAAATTTTTCGAGCCATTTATATAAGCATGTAAATAGTTTGTGTGGGCCGGGATAGCCAGGTCGGTAGGGCGCTGGGCCCATGTCCTAGAGTTCGTGGGTTCGAACCTCGCAGGCCGAAGACTCCCCGTGTAGTAAAGTTACTGATGCACGTTAAATCTGTCGAGTCACAGAAGTCCGCCATGTTCTCATAACAAATCAATACCTCTAGGGGTACTGGATTGGAGATCGATCGTTCTCTGATTCAGGTCGAAATCACGATCTGTGGATGTATGAATGACGAGAGCGACGTATGGTGTGGTAGAAGTCGAATTCTTGACCGTAGATGGTGCCTCTGGAAAACAGGAACAATCTGCCTGAACTGGCATACATCCACAACGACAACAATAGTTTGTGTATAGCTTACTTCAGAATCCAAGGTGACAAAATTTTGATTGAGTATACAATGTGATATAATTCATGTTGCAAACAGGTAATATGTTGCAAAGAACAATTGTCACAGGAAATTCTTTATCAATAAATCTATCCAAGAATTTCANCAAAAACTGCGATTCTTTTGTAGCATAATCAACTATACGATTTTTCTATCGAGCTCACATAATTCGAAGTAAATCAATTTAGCTGTTCGTGTAAGATAATGATTTAAGCCAAATTCTGAAAAAATAATTATAATAAAAAACCTTATTTTGAACTATAAAAGAAAAAGCCGTTCAAGAGAAATATACACCAAAACAAAAAAATAACATTAAGTTGAACTCTCAAAATAACAGCATATGTAACGACTCTTACATTTTTTTTTCTAATATAAAGAGGTAGGCGCAAATTAACTTAGTTTTTTCGTCAAGAAGGGGGTTGATCTTTTAAGCATTTGTGGAATATATAAGATCAAAATTCATTTAAGTTAGGTTTAAACTGTTTTTAAACATTAGCATAAAAATAATTGCATTAAATGTAAGTATGATTAAATTAGATAACGTCAGTACTGGTACCTTCTTTAAACTTAAAAGTGAGCCATATATTATTATCTACAGGCGATCTTAGGTCTTTAAATTTATTATTTTCTTTTATAAATCTAAGTCTGAGTGCATTATTTCAGTCATAAGTTTTTCTATATAAGTAATATCAATGTTGAGCCATGTGTAAGTTAATAATTTACTTCCACCTCGCCTTTCTTTAAATTTTAGATTCTTTTAAGTCCAATACCCTCTACTATGCCATCACTATCAGAAGATGCATTACCATCGGTTACATCTGCAAGAGTTGGAAGTAGCACCAGTTATATCCAGAAAAATGAAGCCACATCGACGACTGGTACACGAGAAAACGAACTGGTGCCTCAAACGCTCACTAAATCTCAAGCAGTAGCTAAGAGTGGTGTTGGAAACCAAAAGATGACCAAAAAATCCACCAGTAAAGGACAAGCACCTGAAACGCCCGCAAAATCTGTAACAGTAGCTAAGAGTAGTGCTGGAAACCGAACGATGGCCAAAAAATCCAGCAGTTCGAAAGCGACGTCTGTTCAGAACATAGGTGGTCGAGAACTATCTGAAGGCTCGTCTGATGCAGATATATCGTCCAATGAGGATACACCGGTATATAAAAAACGTTGGAAAAGTGTTGGAACTGGTACTCAAACCCCAATATCGCTTAAACACCCCGCCAAGCGCTTGTCATTCAGTAGAAAGTCGAGTCCGTTTTAGTTGGGAGGTAGGCAGGTATGAAGAAGATAATGTAAAAGAATTAATTTAAAATTTTCAGTTATATCATTGACTCTAAAGAGCTGAATAAATACGTATACTTTCTTGCGTTTTCGAACTTAAAAATGAAAATTGCCTTACTTATATTGCCTACAGAAAGTTCACGAACATGCTTTTTTAGAAGGGTCAATTTCAATAGGTTTCAAATTTGCTTTTGTAAGCCAATATTTTATGTAATAAAAATAAAATGCATTTCAAGCTATGATCTGAAATCATTTTCCAAAAAATATTGTAAATTAATTATTGTCTGGACACAGCTCCAAACGCGTATTTATGGAAATGGACAACGCTCAAAAAGTCTGCTTGAAAAAGGACACAGCTCGTAATGCGTTTTGACGAAAGTGGACACTGCTCGAAGTTCGTGTTTATGAAAATGGACATAGCAAAAATGTGTTTTTTCAGTTTTTAGCACAAATTTAACAACTTAGTGAGGAATTGCGTGCTGACTTATTAAAACAGTAAAGCGTAATCATTTCGATGCAAAGTTTCGGGGTTCGAGATGGCTAGGTATATTACTGATGTGACTTTTCAGGCGATGTCTTCATATTTAGAACTCTAAACGATAAATAGAGTTTTAAAACTCTTTTAATTCCTTACGTCGTAAATTTATTACTAGCATTATAACTTTAATAGTAATAATAGTAATTAGTAATAACTGTGGCAATTTTGTGAAAACAACTGTTGACTTAGTGATGTAAGCATATGGACGATATCGCATTACAAATTTATTTGGATTAATAGGACTTTTCTTCGAAAAAAAAGAACTATGCTCATAAAAGAAGTTTGAAAAACGGAATCACATTCTATGTCTATTTCCTTAAACACGCATTTTGAGCTGTGTCCATTTTCGCAAACACGCTATTATTGAGTGGAATTCTAGCTTTCTATTTTGGGTTTTTAATTCTGATTTGCAATTTTTTTTTTGTCAAATTATTTAAAGAAATTTAATTTGAAATTTGTTTATTTGGATTTATTATTATTATTCCAAAAACACTGACTTTTCATATGCTTTCCTTTACAATTTTATTAGATATTTTTGAAACGCATTTTAAGATAAACTTTTTATAAAATAAACATAATACCTGGAAAATTAGCCAAGATTGCATAAACTCGATTTTTATAAGTTATACGCAATGTTTTATTTATTACCATTTTCTGCAGACCCATAGAACAGTTGTTGTTTTTTTTAAAAAAAACTTTTATTTCGTACTTTTTTGTCTTAGAATTCGTTATGCCTTTGAAAAAAATGAGCTCTATTCCCCCCCCCCCCAGAAACACATTTTAAAAGCAGAATTATAAACAAAATAATCACGTGGTTTATAGAAATGCTAATTTGGAGATGTAGCTACATGCTCTTCACTCTGATGACTGGACTTGTAAAAAATAATTAAACATTAAAGAATGCTTAGTAAAATTTTAAGCAGTATTGTTTGCAGTATTATTTGTAACAATTGCTAATGCAAACAATTTATTTTTCAAACATTTCCCCGGAGTAAATTACTTTTTTAAAAAGAAAGATTTTTCGGATCGAAAACTGAAATTGCTCCTCGAAGTCGATATTCAAACTTCAGAACCCTAACGCTTACTGCTCCTGAAGTTAAAAAAGATTCCAAATAGCGTTCCGCGACAAGGCTAGTTAAACACTAAAAAGCACGAAAGCTTAAATATATATATATANAGGACCACTCCGGAAAATTGAATAAAAGTTACCAAATCGGATACAAGTACAATTTCAAAAATATAAAATATATCTATTATTTGGAATGAAAAAAAAATGAACTCAATTTGTCAGAAGAACGGACGAAAGTTTTAAGTTTTTTAATGTTATTTTTGGAGTTTTCGTTGCGTCTTTGGCACGAACAGCACGAAACACAATTTATAAGACCCGCTTAGCCAAAAATATTATCAAGCAAATAAATAAATAAAAATAACAATTTTCAATATATATTCTCATTAATGATCATTTTTTTGTTGTTGTAAGGTATAAAGTTTTAAGAACTTCTATAAAACCTGCTCTTAGAAGATAAAAATTGTAATATATTAAATAGGTTGAATAACCTTTGAGAAATAAAAACTCCAATGTACAACTTAGTTTAATTTTTATTTCCCAGGAACTATTCAACTGTTTTTGTACTTATGTTGTTCGCATAGTCTAAAATGGGAATTTAAATTTTTTCCTTATTCTTTTATGCTGAAAACAAATTAAAATTTTTTATCTTCTATTATGTATTAGAGAATTTTAAATTCGACAAATTCAGCAGTGTTTTTATTAAAATATGCTTTATGTTACGTTTTTTATGGCATTAAAAATTATTATTCATTCAATATTTCAGCTTATATAAAAAAGAATTCGTATTTTTGGCTTTCATTTAAAAACATTTATTCAAGCAGGCTTAATCTGCTTAAACTTGTTTTTCACTGAACTTTCTGTGACAAACAGGCTTATTTGCTTAATTTGTTTTTATCCATTTGTTCAAAATATTTAAATTTTTTCTACTAACTGTGGATTATTTTATGGCATATTTTATCGCATTATATTTGCTGGCCTTTTTTTATTTTATTTATTTACTTATTTTTTTGGAATGCGTTTTAATCTAAATTGATCATACAAATCAATTTAAATAAAAACGAATAATGAATAAGGTAAAAATAAATACTTAAAAAAAAAGGTGAGTTATAGTTCTTTTTGAAAGTTTTTTTTTTATTTCAGCAAAACTATATATTTTGCATGGTTTTAAAACGGTGCTTTAGAGATTCAGCAGTTATCTAGTGCATTATTTATTTTCATATTCATCAATAAATACTTCATACTCATTCATAAATAATACTTTCATATTCATAAATAAATACTTAAAAGAAAGGTGATAAAAATAAATACTTAAAAAAAGGTGAGTTATAGTTCTTTTTTAAAGTTTTTTTTTACTTCAGCAAAACTATATATTTTACATGGTTTTAAAACGGTGCTTTAAAGATTCAGCAGTTATCTAGTGCAATATTTATTTTCATATTCAGTTAGAGCTTCACGAGTTTGTAAAAATAATTAAAAAGTAAACTGTTTCACCGAAATTCTTTTCTAAGTATTCACGCCAGGGAAGACAACTAAATATACTAGATATATACGACAAAATACTAAAAAAGAGATCTATCGACAAAGACTACTCACTTCTGCCTAGCTGCTGATAGGGTGAATTTCGGAAGAGATCACATTTGGTGAGAATGCTCTCTTTGGTTATTTCAGTTTCCGTTTTTAAAAGCGCTATATGTTGAGCCACCTCAGNGACGTCATGAGGAGGAAAATCGTAGCTTCAGCTCTAAGAGCGGAGTGAACTAGCCCTTGTATTCTCTTTAGCCCTGACTCACTTCTGCCTAGCTTAATAGTATGAGATTGTCGCCGCCGATAGGGTGAATTTCGGAAGAGATCACATTTGGTGAGAATGCTCATGCTCTCTTTGGTTATTTTAGTTTCTGTTTTTAAAAGCGCTATATGTTGAGCCACTTCAGCTGGATTTGGCATGTGAAATTTTTAGCGGCAATCATTGGTCGATTTTCTAGCGTTGCCATTCGGGGAGTTGTAATGAGGCTTTTTTGTCGCCGTGTAAGAGAAATATATATATAGATAAGCGTGCCCTAATAGCAGATGTATTAAAGTATTTATAATATAATATAGTGAATGTTCATTAGGATTATTTCAATAGCAGTAATAGTCTATTTTTTTGTAAAAGGACCACTTGATAATTCATATGAATGATCTTACTCTTCTAGCGGCTAATTTCAAAGTTCATGTTCACATTTTATTAACATCTTATCTACTTGAGGGAGGTTTGATCAAAAAGAATTGAAATAGTTATTAGAAACTAAGGCAGCTATAATTTACAATTACTCAATGTTACTTACTTTTGTGTCAGACAAATAAACAGTGCTATTATGGAACAAAATATGATGTTATGGAAATAAGTACTAAAAGGGCTTTGATTTTGAAGAGGAAGTCTCAGTCCGATCCAGTTGTGGACATAGTGCCAATGGAATTTTTTTATCCCAATACTTCGGGAAACCCATCTGTCAAAAATTGGCCTTGGAGAAAAAGATAAATGCTGCATAGTTCGAAATTGAAATACCTAATACCTACCTCTGTTGTACTGGAGTTTTTAAAGCTATGCGTAGTATGTCTGTCTAAAAGAAAATTTCCAAAAAAAAAAGAATCGTTGTTTATCTAACTATATCTAGCGTCTTCAATTATCGTGATCAAGTCGATTTAATTGACTTGCAGTTGACACCTGACGAAAATTATAAATGGCTACAACACTATCAGGACCACGCTACAAAATTCAGTTTTCAGCGACCGTTAACTTCGAAAAAAGTTGCTGAAGTCACAATGGAGTTATTAAAAATATTTTTGGAAGTGGATTGTTCTCTTATACTACAATTCGAGAACGACTGTGAGTTTACGGTTGATGTCATAAGAGAATTAATAAGCCTGTGGCCAACTTTCAAAATTCTAAATGGTAAGCCTAGACATTCAGCAAGTCAAGGATCTGTTAAGTGATCAAATCAAGATGTTGAAGCTATGTTACGTGCTTGGTTGATTGTCAATGACGAACTATAGGTTGTTACTTTTTTCAATTCCAATGAATCATTTTCCTCTTCTAATCGAACCATTGAGTAATCACCTTAAAAAGTTTTGTTTACAACAGAACCAAGTACAGCTTTCCAATCTAGTCGTATTTCGAAAGAGTATCTCAAAAAATTGTTACTGAAGAATACTTGGATGTACTTCTTAAACAGCAGGGTCCTGATATTATTTTGATACCAGAAAGCTTACCAGCAGTTTCCTCGGGGAACAACGACATCGTTACAACTTCAAAAGATCTACCAGCAATTTTATTAGTTGATTACAGTGCTTCAACTACAAATGATCTATCAATATTAAAAAATCATCCAAAAATAACACTTCAATGTCGCAACCAACGGCTGCTTTACTCGCAGAAAAGACTTTAAATTTGGAGGATTCACCAGAAATTAAATCAATTCCTTTAACGACGACAAGACAACTAGAGCCAGTAAACAACTCTACTTCAATTAAAAAGCACTGTAGTGTTACTTGCATCAGAAAGGGAAGCGGCTGTCAGTGACAATAAGCATGCTGTGTTGTGTGTGGAATGGGATCCTCCAGAACTCAATCATGCGATATTTGTAAAAATTTGGTGCACGAAATATGTGGGAATACAGTAGGAGAAGATGGATATGTATCGAAAGCTCTATGCTGTAACTCCTGAAAAGATCAGTTGAAAAAAATGAAATTTCTTTGAAGAAATTTAAAGGCGCGATGGTGGATTCCACAGTTTTGGTTGATGTACATACCTAAGATAGATAGAGGCTTATTAGATGAAAATGAGTCCCTTGAACTGAAATATATTGGCATTGTTTCATATTCATCTGCTCTCTGAATTCAGGAATTAATTTTTAGTAAATTTTGAACTGAACTATTTTCTTGGGATTGGTGCCTAAATAACAACTTTGACACTTACTATTTCTCCCGTGAAGGGGCTAGTGGATATATAGATATTATTTTAAATGT